CCGGGGCAGACGCTGCCCACTGCGCGAGAGGAAAAAGAAAAACGCTTTGTCAACAGACAAGCCGGGCAAATAAGGTGCTTTCAATTCCAGATGGCCGGGGGACACTTGAGGGCCGTGAAGAAATGAGGAAATAGTTTGAAAGATGGAGGCAGCAGGGGTCATTTCAAAGACTCTTGTTAGTATTGTAGTAGGTCGAAAGCCTGTTGTCTCTTCCTTCTGAAGCTCTGTGGACGGACGCCTCAGGAGGAGAAAGAAAAAGCGGTTTTCTCAGATACTGTCGGGGTGGTCCACTAAAGGAAATGTTCAGACAGACAGGGACCAGAAGAGCAGACACAGGTCCATGAATCCAGCAGAGCAAATGCAGGAAGAATCAAAAGCATCATCCTCTGGGAAATAAGATGGATTTTTCTGTTATTTTTTTCTTTTTTGCCTCTGTGTGTGATGTGTGTCTCTCTGAAGAGAAGCGAGTGTGTGCCTTTTAAAGCCACGCCTGTTTAGACTGGTGTTACGTTTAAAATGTCTTTAAAACTTTAAAGAATAAACTTGTTTTTACAAAAATGATGTATGTTAAAATACATAAAACACATCACTCGAATAAATACGCGACCAATCTATGTTTAAGTGAGCCATCAAACCAAACTAAGGATTAAGTCACAAAGTTGTCTGTGGAGAAACAGGCAGCCTTTGTGTATTTGTTAAAACATTTGCAACAATTGCATTTTAGCTAAATATAATCAATAAATATTGTATCTACAGGTTGTTTAAATGAAATATCTGAAATACACTCACCGGCCACTTTATTAGGTACACCTGTCCAACTGCTCATTAACACTTAATTTCTAATCAGCAATCACATGGCGGCAACTCAGTGCATTTAGGCATGTAGACATGGTCAAGACAATCTCCTGCAGTTCAAACCGAGCATCAGTATGGGGAAGAAAGGTGATTTGAGTGCCTTTGAACGTGGCTTGGTTGTTGGTGCCAGAAGGGCTGGTCTGAGTATTTCAGAAACTGCTGATCTACTGGGATTTTCACGCACAACCATCTCTAGGGTTTACAGAGAATGGTCCGAAAAAGAAAAAACATCCAGTGAGCGGCAGTCCTGTGGGCGGAAATGCCTTGTTGATGCCAGAGGTCAGAGGAGAATGGGCAGACTGGTTCGAGCTGATAGAAAGGCAACAGTGACTCAAATAACCACCCGTTACAACCAAGGTAGGCAGAAGAGCATCTCTGAACGCACAGTACGTCGAACTTTGAGGCAGATGGACTTCAGCAGCAGAAGACCACACCGGGTGCCACTCCTTTCAGCTAAGAACAGGAAACTGAGGCTACAATTTGCACAAGGTCATCGAAATTGGACAAGAGAAGATTGGAAAAACGTTGCCTGGTCTGATGAGTCTCGATTTCTGCTGCGACATTCGGATGGTAGGGTCAGAATTTGGCGTCAACAACACGAAAGCATGGATCCATCCTGCCTTGTATCAARGGTTCAGGCTGGTGGTGGTGGTGTCATGGTGTGGGGAATCTTTTCTTGGCACTCTTTGGGCCCCTTGGTACCAATTGAGCATCGTTGCAACGCCACAGCCTACCTGAGTATTGTTGCTGACCATGTCCATCCCTTTATGACCACAATGTACCCAACATCTGATGGCTACTTTCAGCAGGATAATGCGCCATGTCATAAAGCTGGAATCATCTCAGACTGGTTTCTTGAACATGACAWTGAGTTCACTGTACTCAAATGGCCTCCACAGTCACCAGATCTCAATCCAATAGAGCATCTTTGGGATGTGGTGGAACGGGAGATTCGCATCATGGATGTGCAGCCGACAAATCTGCGGCAATTGTGTGATGCCATCATGTCAATATGGACCAAAATCTCTGAGGAATGCTTCCAGCACCTTGTTGAATCTATGCCACGAAGAATTGAGGCAGTTCTGAAGGCAAAAGGGGGTCCAACCCGTTACTAGCGTGGTGTACCTAATAAAGTGGCCGGTGAGTGTATAACCTTAATGAATTTTTGAAGACCTATTTTAAGCAGTGGTTACAAAAGCAAACAAACATGATTTTAAGCATAAAAGTCTTCGTTTTTTCTACTAACTCTGCAAGCTAAGGTTTTTTGTCTTTCCAGCTAGGAAATCTAAATATCCAAATATTTTTTGAAGTTTTCTCTTAATAATGACATCAAATGTTTCTCATTAGAATAACCTAAAAATAGGATTCAGACTAAATAACAATGGGTTATCCTGATTAGGAAGACAAACCAAGCCAGTTCTCTGGAACCGCTCATGATATGAGGAGAATCCAGGTATCAAATTGATCTGTAAAAAAGTAGGAATCAGTAAATGTGCTGAGGTTACTTTGAAAAGAAAAATTAACTTCTATTAAGTTTTATTTGATTTGTCACATACTATGAGCCTTTTTGCGAATGGTTCATGTGATGCATTCATTTAGAAATTTTGTATGTTCTGGATAATTATAACTCAGAAGATTATCAGATGAAGCCCTAGTTAGTGAAATAAGAGAAAACAAATATTTTATCTAGTAATTTATTGACTGAGTGTGAAATTGTGAATTAGTCATGGGCAAAACTTGGTTCTTAAGATGGTCAGGTGAGGGTCTGATTTATTTAGGGGACAGGGTTTCAAAGTTTGATCTTCACAACACATAACTGTGAAAGTGCACCAACAGACAGAACAGAGCAGATTCATAGGCCTGTCACAATAAGCAATAAATCAGTTAATGGCACGATGAATTAAAATGAGGTTGATACATTTTATTTGCCTGCTTGATTGTGTTCTTCATATCTCCCTCTTTTCTACTCCGTAGTGTAGGGAGGAGTGAACTCTTGTGTCAGGTATTTGTATTAGGTTAAAATGGTATTCGATATTATTGTTTATTGCAATAATTTCTGAGAATTTATCATCCAGCAAAATTTGTTATTGTGACTGGCCTACAGGTTAGCTTGAAAACAAACAAACAAACAAACAAACACTGCTGTTTATAGGAACTTGGACAAGTCAGAAGTGCTGCTTAAAGTGTATCTTACCCCCCTGTGAAAAAGATAACTCCGCCCCAAGGCGAAATTTGAAAAATGCATCAAAGTGGGCAGGGGAGGGGTGTGGGTAGGGGAAGGGGGGTTAGAGAGCGGAGGTGTGGCCAGGACGAGGACGAGAGTATGCGACAGCTAGCATTAGCATAATTGATGCTACATGGAGAGTGACCACAGCGACGCAGATAGTTACATCTCTAAACGGTCTGAGGTGGAGGACTTTTCACCCCCCTCCTCACCAGAGGCAGAGAGAGACTTGATCAAGTCAGCTCAGTCTGYMASTGACTCATGTTGGCTCCCTCGATCAGGACATGAAGCTCCAGCATCCTCGGCTGAGCTCTGTGTCTGCCTCACACCACACCAGCACCGGACAGAGGAGGTGGAGCACTCCGCGACAGCCTGACATTAAAAAAAATAAAAGTATTCAGCTGCAGCTGCTCACAAGATCGCTAGTTTAAATCATGAATAAAAGTGTTTGGTCTTGTTTGTCTGAAGTTCGGTCCGTTATTTTTTTCCCTCCTCCCCTCCCGCTGTGCAGGACGTGCTGCTGGAGTGTGTGTGTGGTGAGAGAGAGCGAGAGAGCGAGAGAGACAGAGAGAGACAGAGAGAGACAGAGCGAGACAGAGAGAGAGAGAGAGGGACAGAGAGAGAGAGAGAGAGACAGAGAGAAAGAGAGAAAGAGAGACAGAGAGAGAGAGAGAAGCGCAGCAGTCAGCTCTCCCCACCCGAGGCTGAAGGTCAACAGATGATCATGCTAAGCTTGCTAACTGTTCCACCCTCTGACTGCTGCAGGGGCGTGTCTTAGAGAGAGGCTTTTATACCAGAACACAGCCGCTGTGACGAAACTCTGGAGAAGACACGTCATAGAGAGCCGTTAACCAATATGCAAATTAGCCTGCAGTACAACTGCTCTACCC